CACGAGGACTTCCCAGGGGGTCACCCATCCTAGTACTACTCTCGCCCAAGCACGCTTAACTTCGGAGTTCTGATGGGATCCGGTGCATTAGTGCTGGTATGATCGCACCCATCAAGTGTTGCGCGCATGATGTTCTTATTCCTAATCCGCCGGTATTGCACATAGTTTAAGCAACAAACTTAACTTAAGAGTACTGATGGGATCCGGTGCATTAGTGCTTGTATGATCGATCCCATGATGCACAATTTTAGTGGTCGAAATGGTAATACACGGGGTCGAAGACACACCCTATCGGTCTTGGGCATGTTTGCCCTCATAGTTAATCTTTTAGCGTGGTGATTACGCTGTTTTGGGCATAACTTTTGCTAGGAGTGTCCGTTTTCAGCGTGCGAGCACTTTCCGGAAAGGTCTCAACGAGACGCACAGGGGGGCGATGGGTCGGAGACCCATCAAGGCTCAATTTTGACCTCAATTTCGCTCGTTTCCGGGCCTGAGGCCTATTTTATGTTCAGCCCATTTATTTGTCGTTTAATAGGCCCGTTTTGACTTCTGTTCGTTTTGGGTTTCGGCCACCCTTGTTTTGTGTGGCTTCCCGACGCACTTTGGAAGTTCACGCAACCCTTTGTGCTCTCTAGACGGTTTTTAAAAGAATCAAGCACATAACTTGCAAAAAAATGATGAAAAGAACAAAAAGGGGTGCGACACGAGGACTTCCCAGGGGGTCACCCATCCTAGTACTACTCTCGCCCAAGCACGCTTAACTTCGGAGTTCTGATGGGATCCAATTAATTAGTGCTGGTATGATCGCACCCATCGAGTGTTGCGCGCATGATGTTCTTATTCCTAATCCGCCGGTATTGCACATAGTTTAAGCAACAAACTTAACTTAAGAGTACTGATGGGATCCGGTGCATTAGTGCTTGTATGATCGATCCCATGATGCACAATTTTAGTGGTCGAAATGGTAATACACGGGGTCGAAAACACACCCTATCGGTCTTGGGCATGTTTGCCCTCATAGTTAATCTTTTAGCGTGGTGATTACGCTGTTTTGGGCATAACTTTTGCTAGGAGTGTCCGTTTTCAGCGTGCGAGCACTTTCCGGAAAGGTCTCAACGAGACGCACAAGGGGGGCGATGGGTCGGAGACCCATCGCGGCTCAATTTTTACCTCAATTTCGCTCGTTTCCGGGCCTGAGGCCTATTTTATGTTCAGCCCATTTATTTCTCGTTTCCTAGGCCCGTTTTGACTTCTGTTCGTTTTGGGTTTCGGCCACCCTTGTTTTGTGTGGCTTCCCGACGCACTTTGGAAGTTCACGCAACCCTTTGTGCTCTCTAGACGGTTTTTAAAAGAATCAAGCACATAACTTGCAAAAAAATGATGAAAAGAACAAAAAGGGGTGCAACACGAGGACTTCCCAGGGGGTCACCCATCCTAGTACTACTCTCGCCCAAGCACGCTTAACTTCGGAGTTCTGATGGGATCCGGTGCATTAGTGCTGGTATGATCGCACCCATCAAGTGTTGCGCGCATGATGTTCTTATTCCTAATCCGCCGGTATTGCACATAGTTTAAGCAACAAACTTAACTTAAGAGTACTGATGGGATCCGGTGCATTAGTGCTTGTATGATCGATCCCATGATGCACAATTTTAGTGGTCGAAATGGTAATACACGGGGTCGAAGACACACCCTATCGGTCTTGGGCATGTTTGCCCTCATAGTTAA